TAAGTGCAGACCATTAACCATTAAAGTTAATGGCAGGCCTTTCACCGAGGAGAGTGGAGCATGTGACCTGTGTGGTACCTCCTTTATTTTTAAATGCAGCTGACTTATTGCTTAATTGGTTTTTATTTCTGTTTTTATTTGTAGTCAATCTTTGGTTAGATCCTAAACTACTCGGTTAAATTCAGAAAAACATCCAGGTTTAGATCAAAATAGAACATTTCACCTCGATGTAAAGTGTTATCACAAAACCATTGTACTGGTTTATGCACACTGATGATTGTTAGATAGAATTCCCACCACTGAACAATTTGCTTCTTAGCAGCAATAAAACAAAAGGTATAAAGCAAAGAAGAAGAAGAAGAAGAGGAGGAAGAATGCTGTTTTTACCTCCTCAGTACAGTCACACAAGGAATGACTGTGACTGATGACTGTGTAAACACAAGAATTCCATTTCGCCCACACTTTGGCCAGAACATCTCAAACATGAGCCGTGTTTGCGATAACCATGTTCAGGCTTGCACTTGAGCATACATGTAGTAATGCATCTCAAAAAACTAGGATATCATCAAAGTTTTTCTTTTCTGTAAGTTAGGAAAAAAAAGTAAAAATGTAAAATACTCCAGACTCTTTACATTACAAGTATTTTCCTGTTTTAATTTAGCCAAGTATGGCTCAAAAAGTTTTTAAAAACATGTTTTTGAAATATTAAAATATTTCATTTTGAATTTGAGTAAACGACCATGCACGGAGGATAAGCCACAGAGGCTCATTGCTGAAAAGGCTAGTTGGTTGCAGAATGCTGTATCGAGCTTAATAAAAGCTGACTGGAAGGGAAGTGGGTATGAAGAGCTGCCAAGCACAGACTTCTTAATGTCAAGAGGAAGATAAGCAGCATGTGACCCAAAAATACAGACGAGCTAAAGACTCGTATCAAAGCGTCCTGGGCTTCGATAAGACCTCAGCAGTGTCACAGACTGATCTCCTCCGTGAGACGTCGCATTAATGCAGCAATTCATGGTGATGGAGCCCCGAACAAGTCCTGAAATAAATGAACATACTTTCTAGAAGTAGAGCATTTCTGTTTTGTAAACCCTTTTTTGTGAAATATACTAATACTTTGAGATGTTAGATTTCTGATTTCCATGAGCTATAAGTCATCCATCCATCCATTATCTATACACCGTTTAATCCTCACTAGGGTCGTGGGGGGCTGGAGTCTATCCCAGCTGACTTAGGATGAAGGCAGGGGACACCTGGACAGGTCACCAGTCTATCACAGGGCTACACTTAGAGACAGACAACCAATCAATCAGACCAACCAACAACCTATTTTGAAAAGTAAATACATCCCATCGTCTGGCCACCTGATCCTCTGACTTGCTACATCTTGTCTTTTGTTTGCAGATTGTTATTATTATTATTGTTATTATTGTTATTATTATTCAAAACACACAAAATTGCAAACAGCTATTCTTGTAATGAAGCTTATTTGCACACAACATTTTACTAGGAAGGGCTGTAAGGTGGAGCAGCTGGTAGCACCGTTGCCTCGCAGCAAGAATGTCGCCAGTTCACGTCCCAGTGAGGACACCTGGGATCTTTCTGCGTGGACTAAGCGGCGTATAGATGATGGATGGATGTTAAAGATGAAGTTTGCTTTGTGAAATGTGAAACATCACAAGAGAACTGTGACCCAAAAAAGCCCAAAACTAACTTTGTATCAGTGCATAGGAACCAAACAATAGGGCCACTGTAAATGATTCATTACTAACTACAAATTACTGACTATGCAGCAGGACGTTGTCCCTCCTGAGACTGTGTAAGCTGTTTTATTTAATTGGGGAAATTAGTTTTCTTGACTTTTTTTTTTAGGGATCCTTATTTCATTAAGCCTTCATTTTCTCAAACAAATGTTTGGCACAAAGGCACCTTGGCAGTGGCTCAGGTCCTGCTCTCTGTATTGGTAAAGCCCGGTCAGCGTAGAAGATGGGTTTGGTTTCGTGAGACTTTCTTACTTAGGATGAGTAACATCACAGTCAGTCTGTCCAGTGTGTTGGCAGCTCATGGTCTAAGTGCTGATGTCATTCTTTACCCAGCCAGGTTCATGCTTTCAGAAATGAAAACTTTTCTCAGCACACAGGGTGCAACCACAGCAGACAAAGACGATTACAAACACAGGCTCTGTGGCTTTCATAACTCACTGCTGCGAGGGATCAGTTTACATGAGATGTCATTTGCTAATGCTGAGCTGTAAATCATAAAGTCCTTCTAAACGAGCTCTGCCTTTGTTTTACAAAGCTTCTTGCCTTTACCAAAAGATGTGTCGACTTGTCATTGTTTCCGGGGTGATCTCATGAAAACGGACTAACAATTAGTTGGTTTCAAGTCAGT